AGCAAACAAAATCTTAACACCACAGGACAACCCCGTTCCCTGTTCCCACCCAAGAGTTTTGGGGACATTGAAAAATTGACTGGGGAGCAATTATTTATTATTTGTATTACCATAATGCCAAGGAGCCTTAATCATGGACCAAGATCCCATTGTGCTAAGCGCTGTACAAACACAGAACAAAGATGGTCCCTACCCCAAAGAGTTTAATACCTACTGAACATTGCTATGGGATTACCAAAGAGACCACATGTTGGTTACCTACAAGTCAAATGAGCAAGGTTAGACCATTTCCTATTTTAATGTAAAGGCACATTGTCAGGTCAAACATTTTTATTTAAAAAAGAAACAAACCTGAATTTCTTACTGAAGTACATGATTAAAACAGAGTTTTGAAAATGTAACGTTTAGTCTTGGTTTAATTTTTGCACTTCACTCAGGCTGGACAAAGAAATGAGGCTGGTCATTTTTAATCCGATTAACCTTTATTTCCAATGTTTCTGGTGAATGTCATTTCTGGGGTGGGGGATTCAGATGCTAGTATAATGTGGCTATCTGATACACTTAAGGGTATTCCCTTGTTTGTTTTGTGATTTTATGGTGTGGGATAGGCACTGAAAGCACTGGATGGGTGCCTAAATACAAAATAATGAATTTTGGCTTGGTAGATCTGTAGGGGAATGTTTAAATCCAAACCACAAACTTTTCAAAGAGTAAAAATACCAGAGCTCCCCATTCATATTACGTTTAAGACATATTCTTCCGAAATGCAGACTATACATTTTAGGCCTAAACTTCCTGACAGTGTCCTCCTATGTGTAGATATGCAGCAAAAATCAAACAGATATGAAAAGCTCAGTTCTCTTTATTGTAGACGATTTTCACCACTATAAGACATAGCAATAAAAAAGTCAAACAGTCCAAATCAATGTTTAATGAACTTCAGTACAGTAACTCCAGTTTCAACAGTCACATAATTCACTATAACTGAAATTGATCTTTACATTTGATTTTAAAAACAGATTTTGAAAATTATTTACAAAATCAAGAAAGACTTATGCAATTTAAACTACAGAGATTTTGCTCTGTTATTTGCTGCTAAATATGAATATGAACTCTGAACAGGAAAGATAATTACTACAAAACACTCATCTGCTCCCATACTTACGCTTTTGGTATGGCCACACTCAAGCGTACGGGTTTAGAGCCCAATCCCACAGCCCCTTGGCACTCTGTCAGGGCTCTTTTCTGTTCCAGCTCGTCTGTGAATTTCACAAACCCATAACCTCTGCAGAAAGACATGGAATGGTTTGTATCACACTAAAGCAAAAGACATTCCATTTTCAGATGTTTAAGACAAACTTGCATGGGTTTAGGAATACTCTATAACTAATAAAACATGGACTTGGGAGAATACTTTGCTAGTGAAATGTCAACACAAAAGTGAAAACCTGTCCATGTTTTTTTTTTTTTTAAGCAGGGATTAAATGATTCCCTATTCCAGTGATTTTCTATTATTTGCAGTGTTAGAGGTATTTCATGTCCTAACAACTGCCGTATTTTCAAAGGCATCAGAACAATAATATACATCTTGTACCAGTGGATTTTTGGGGACCTTTGTGGAACTGGGTGATGTGTTGGAGCTAAAAGTGTGGACAGGGGTGTGGTGCAAGGAAGAAGATGAAAGGTAGGCACCGCTCACAGTTCTTAGGCACCTGTATAGACACTGTGAAGAAGAACCAGGCTTTTGACTTGTGTGATCTCAAGCTGTGGAGATGAAGGGAAGAGGGAGAAGAAAGAATCAGACCAGAAGTTTCTTCCCCATCTGGCAGCAGTACTGGAAAGGGGGAATCAAAGCCAGCCTGTATAGTGTCTCAGTCAGTGCACAGCTAATAAGCAGCCACGGAAATCACTTGTGTCTAAAGCTGGCCCCAATGTGATGTAAAGAGTTTGCTTGTCTACAGGGTGGATTAAGACAGACTTCGCAGTCAAAGCCCATCTACACTCGGGAACTGCTCTACAAAGTTTCTTGTTGTTGCTAACACCTGCACTGCTCTGCCAGCATTAGCAACACTGGACATAATTATATCTGCTCTGGGCAGCCTCACTTGAACAACAATGGCACGCAGCCAGCTGCCCTTCAACACAATGTCACTAACTCCAGTAAAGCTGAACCAGAATTGGCAACAGCCGAAAACGTTTAGAACGTTTTCCTAGCGTAGAAAAGGCTTTAGAGTGGGATCTAGAGGCTGTCGTGAGTCAGAGTAATTCAGCAGCACACAACAGAGTAGTACCAGCTTGCAGGGGTGGGCTGGGCTGCCTCTCTGGACACGGCAGAGAGATCAAGGCCTTAGGAGCGACAGGAAAAGAGAGTCTATCCAGGTGGAGAGAGGATGTTGGAAGGGAAAGAAAGCCTGGGCTAGTTAATTAAGCCAGAGCAAACGCCTCTGCAGACACAGTTATAACCCGTTTTCAACAGGTATCGGTTTAGTTTGCTCCCGCAATGGTACGGGGGCAAACTAAACCAATGTAAGTCACGTTTAAAATTGACGTAAGTGTACGCACACAAAGTTGCACTGATCAACTAAATCAGTTTAAAAAAACAACACATCTTTAATATAAAACCACTGCAATTCTGGGTGTTGTTCAGGCCTTCTTGGAGAAGGGGGGAGGGAGAGGGAGTTTACAACTTAAAATAATCTGACCAGAGCAAAATTCCCCAAGACATAAAACCAGGACACTCACCTTGCTCTAATGACATGTTCTGTTTTTAAATTTGACTGCTGAGCAAAGAACCCTCTTATTGAGAAAGATATAACAGAAAGGAAAATGGTGCATTTAGGATGCCTATTTAATCATATCGAGAGGGCAGACTTCAGATTTCTAGTTTTGATTGGATTATTTCCAGAATCTGAAAATGAGGGTTAAACTACAGCATATTTAGACAGTGAATCACAATTTTGTTTTGTATCTGGCTTCTATAGCATCTAAAACATCCAAAACCATCAGAGTCAGGGGAAGATTTTCAAAAGTATCTACAGAATTTAGGAGTCCAATTCACATTGAAAGTCAAAGGGGACTGGTGTTCATAAATCACTTAGTGCTTTCGAAAATCTCCTAACCGGCAATAAAACATTTTTAATAAAAATACATACAGATCTAATTCAGAGTAGCAAAAGTATGGTATTGTGAATAGCAGAAAACAGACATACTGAATATTTAATAGAGACAATTCAGTCTAGTGATCTGGTTTGTTAAGTCCTAAGCAAACCTAATACAACTACTCCTTTTCCCTCACTGCCTTTGGAAAGAGGCAAAGTCTATGAGGTTACAGATGGCCTATTTTCTCCAAAAGATCTCACAACATATGAAGCAAGAGAGAGGAAGGCATAAGGAAAACTTACTTGGAAACTCCAGTCTGGTCCAAAACAACTTTGCCACCTCTACATGACGGATAAACTTTAACAAAAAACTCATATAGCATGCCATCGTCCACATCGGGGGTCAGATCTCCCACAAAGAGTGAGTATTCTGGACTAAAGGAGTCAATAAAAAGAGTACATTTTATGAATAGTGATAAAACAAATAGTGTGATATGAACAAGAACAGAAAACTATCCAAAACATCTGATTATTAAGTGGCATGAGTTAAAGGGACTATGGAGATACCAATATTATTTTTAAAAGCCTTTATCTATGTTACTGGTAATTTATATAATATTAAATTTTTTCCACTGCTTATGCTGCTTGTATTTTCCTACACAGTTGGGGCAGCAAAACCAGATGGCTCCTCCATTTCACTTTTTGCACATACACTAGTTCATGGCACTGTATTTGTGTTTCCAACATTGCAAGAGACCATTTATACCCTCAAAGAAATAAAAAGAAAATTCAGTGAAAATAGATTTAATTTCTCTTCATATTCGGTATTGTAAAACCATTATTTAAAAACAAATTTGTGGTTTAATTCCTTCAAAATAACATTAGGCACATGTATTGCTTTAGATTTTCAAACCATCATTACCCACTTGTAGGTAATAGCTCATTTGTAGATTTGCTAGTTTCCAATGTACTGACCTTTAATTGTAATCTATCAATTATAGGTGCTGATACTACAAATGTTTAAGCACAGGTGTAGTGCAACTGAAGTCAGTAAGACTACTTGTGCTTAAAGTTAAGTACATATATCCGTGCTTGCAGGATTGGGGCCATGTTTTGACTCTTGGAATTCTTAAACAATATGGCACAGCATAAATTCCTGGAGATAAAAGACACCTTTTCTTTCCTTCCCATCCTCCCACATGGATGGATGTCAGGTTTGGAATAAGTACAATTTAAAAATTCTTTACAAGTTAGAAAGCCTACAAGTGCTTAAAGCATAGGACAGAGTGAAGAGAGCAAGTTCTTCTGACCGCCACAGACTTATTGCATGTCCTTGGGCAAGTCACTTAATCTCTCTGTGATTCAGGCTATCCATCTGTAACATAAGGCTAATACCTACTGCATGGGGCGATTGCAAGAATTAATCACACAATTGTTGTTATATGGCTGGAACCCCCTTTCTGACCCCATCTGCCAGCTTTGACCTTCACCTCTGAGTCCCTCCTCAAAATGCACTTCTTCAAAGAGGCTTATGAATCAGTCTAAAAATAAAAATGTAAACCCTAAGATGCAAATATCACTCACCTAAGCAACCATATTGTTGTCAACATTGTACGTATGTACCTCAATCTCTCCCTGTGTTGTTCTCAACTTCAGTTGTGTGAATTCTTCTGGGCAGGAATTCTGTCTTTACTTTGCAAAGTGCCAGGCACATTTATGACATTATATAAACAAGACATACATATTTTTATTATGTGAAGCACCTGGAGATGCATGGAAGTTGCTAAGGCAATGCACTGTATCATTAACCTCTCCACTGTATTTAATTACACTTTAAAGCAGTCTAGTTTCTTAGTTATTGGTTTATTGCCTGGCATTGCCCATCCCGAATGGCAATTAAGATTTAAGTTGTATGCTTCTAGTTAAAATTCCCCTACTCTATATCGCTAGGAGCTGATCTGGTCCAGCAATACTGATGGTATGGATTGCACTCTCTGAATACTCTTTTGCAAGGGAGCTCACAAACAAACAAGGACAATGTTTGAATACTAAACACTTACCTGTTGTCGGGCTGTTTTCCATACGTTGCGTAGTTCAGTTTAAATCGCTTTGACTGCAACAAGGATAAATAGAAACTGACAATATGTAAAACCATGTGGGTTCACTTTAGAACATTTTTATAATCATAATTAGAAAAAATAAAAGTGAGTTATAATAGGCTAATTTTAAACCATTTTCTTAATAATGGCAAGTGTTAAATGCGTGACACTGGTAGGTCTGCAGGCTAAAGCATTAGAGGGCAAGTCCTCTGACAATGTAAACTGACTTCAATGGAGTTATGACAATTTACACCAGCTGAGGATCTGCCCCCAGGTCAGGAGGTCTTGCCTGCCCATCCCAAGAGATTCTGGCTGCCTTTACTACAAAAGTATTCTAAAAGGCTAGCAGAAGACTGGGAGACACACCAGGGCCTTTCATTTTCACATCTCCAGAGAGGAGAAAAAACAAAAGTACCAACAATCACCATTGAATGAGACTTGCCACATTTTGGTGTTTTTAAATAAAATACAGAATACAAATTTAGAGAATTGTAACTTACAGGAATGTTAACCAAGTAGAATCTGACACTCTGGAAACCAAATCTTCAATCATAACAACATTTAAATTAAATAAATAAAAAATAAATTAATGGAGATATCCTATCTCCTAGAACTGGAAGGGACCTTGAAAGGTCATCGAGTCCAGCCCCCTGCCTTCACTAGCAGGACCAAGTACTGATTTTGCCCCAGATCCCTAGGTGGCCCCCTCAAGGATTGAACTCTCAACGCTGGGTTTAGCAGGCCAATGCTCAAACCACTGAGCTATCCCTCCCCCGCAAAGTATTTCTAGATACTTTACTTTACTGATACTTTACTCTGTATTTTAGATTGCTTGTGTAGTTTTGATGTGCATTTCCTGTGTAGCTGGACTTGAGTAACTTTTGTTGCTAAAGATCAAGAATGATGTGAGGCTTGAACTTCATGCTTCTCTTGGCAAACCAAAGTTACCCAAAACTCAGTGAAATCTCAGCTCCATTTCAACCCACATAGATGATATAATCTGTGCAAAGTAATCAGCTAGTGTTGTGCTGGTAACAGGTTACATAGGGTAGCATGGTGGGTAGGAATACGTAGCCTGCTTTTTCCTTCCTGTTGCCTGGTTTTTCATCTGTCATGCTTTGACAACATTGCAAAGGATCAGAAATTCACAAATGCAAATATCTGCTGCTACCCAAGTTTTATCCATCCATTCACCCTGAAATAGGTGTGTCTTAAAAATTAATGAAACCCTTCCAGAGACTTTGCTATAAAGAATGTTAGTAACTGCATACTCATCAGCTCCTAAAGAAAACAAGAACTCCCAATTTGCTGATTATTCTGCTTATCTCAATTCCTAATTATTGTGGGATCCCTTTTCTCCATCCCTCCCATTCCTGCTCCTCTACTAATTAATTTGGGTTACTTACTGGTGTGGCACCAGGAAGCGGTTTTCCATTGATTTTGTGTAAACACTTCTCTGCAGTAGCCAGATCTGCAAATTCTACAAAGCAGTAGCCTGCTGGAATTCTGAATACGGGGGGAGGGAGAGAGAGAGAGAGAGAGTTTTAAGATTACAAAATTTAGAATTCATCTGGGCAAAAGTGCAATACTTATGATTCTCTGAAGGATGCAGAGCGGGTGAGGAATTTCCTATAATCACCATTTTGAAATGAGAACATTTTCAAAATGTCATCTTCAGCTTGCATAGAGGAGCGACTAAGCAGCAAATGATCACCAATGAAGTGACAGCCCACAAGGCCATGTCAGCTGTATACTCCAGTTGCAGAGCCAGCAAGGTGGAGGGGGAAGGGAGAAATAATAAATTTAGTACAAACCCCACAAAAATCAAAGGTAATTATTTTTCTCCCCATGTTTGTACTTTTTCATTTAATAAAATACCAATTTCCTGATGCTCACTTTGCAATATGGAAACACCCTGTTAAATAGAAAGACCTGATGACTATAGTCCTGTATAATGTCTCTTTAAACAAAAGCCAACCATTGTAATGATTGTTTGGTTTCTGATATTGACATGGCAAGGATTTGTGAACTTGTTAAAACTTCCTAAATAAACAGATAAAAAAAACAAATACAAACTTCCCTATTAGAATCTAACAGTTTTAAATGTTGGATTTAAATTACTTGCAAGCAAAGCTACATAAGGCTGATACTTTATTTAATCTGCATCCACTAGTCTCATTCTAATCTTTATAAGGGAGATCAAAAGAGCCAAGCAAGACTGTGGCTAAACTATAAGTATTTTCTTTATATTTCTCACCTTTGCTAACACTGGCGCGGCTCCACTAGTGGTAGCACTAGTATAGACTGGTCACTAGCATTTTAACTACCCTATCACATTAGGCCTTCATCCTTTACTGTGTAGTGTGCCGGTGGGGTGGATTGCGGTGCCTGCCTGGCACCCACTATCTTCAGCAGTGCTCTATTTGGGCACAGAAGTCCATGCAAACGCAATATAGGATTGGTGCCTAACCCTATTCCGATACCGGCAGCAGCCTCTTCCACGGTTCTTACCAGCGTAGCTGCATTGTTGGTAGCAATGGTGGGAAATGTAAAGGAGAACAATGCTAGCATAGACAAGGCCACAATGAGGCCTGTGGTTTGTAAAGGGATAATCTAAATGCAAGAATACATTATTAAAATGAACTGATAGGAAACATAAATGATTACCCTGTCAATCTATTTCGGATGATTTTTACACTCAGAACAAGTTCTCCCATGGTGGCAAAGGCTCTTGAAACGAAGTTCTCATCCATGTATGGCTCCAGCTATAAAGAGAAGGTTGAAGTTAGATTGGGGAGTTGGGGGGATTACACACACATCAGTGTCACCCATATCAGTTAAACCTCCTGGAGAAGCACTTTCCCTATACACTTAAAAAGGCAGTAAGACCTGTTTAGAAGGGCCAGCATCACCGACAGCATGGGCCAAAACCCCACACCCATAAACCAGCAAGTGTGCACAGAGCCAGTCCCAACAAGATGGTCTGCAAAACAGAACCATTGGGGAACTGAGGGATGAAGGATTTAGGGACACAGAGGCCTTTCAGAGAAGGAGCAACCATGGGGAAGAGGTATTTAGGAATAAACCTTGCATAGGATGAGGCGCTGTATGAGGGGCTAGAGGGGTGACAGCATATCCAAGGAGGGTAAGAAGGGACACTATCTATAGGTATAATGGGGTAGAGAGTAGCACTATCTGTGGGGGTAATGGGGTAAGGGGCACACATAGGGGAGAGTAGGGGTGGCATTGTATCTGTGGGGGTCGGAGATATAGAGGTTGTACTGTATGTGGGGGATGTAGGGGCTGCAGGATGAGGTTGGGGTGGCACTGCACCTGTGGGGGCTATGGGGGTGGCAGCATAGGGGTGTACTGGGCAGGGCTGGCACTCTGTCTGTGGGGAATATAGAGGTAGGGTGTGGCACTGCAGGTGTAGGGTGATACAGGGTGGCAGCATGAGGGTGTAACAGGCAAGACTGGCACTGTGTCAATGGGGCAGGGCTGGCTCTGTATCTGTGGGGGGCTACGTGGGTGGCAGCATGAGGGTGTAATGGGTAGGGCTGGCCCTGTATCTGAAGGGGCTACATGGGTGGCAGCATGAGGGTGTAATGGGCAGGGCTGGCGCTGTGTCTGTGGGGGATATAGAGGTAGGGCTGGTGCTGTGTCTGTGGGGCAAGGGGGCAGGTCTGGCCCTGTGTCTGTGGGGATATAGAGATAGGGGGTGGCTCTGTGTCTGGAGCAATGGGGAAGGGCTGGTGCTGTATCTGTGGGGGCTACATGGGTGGCAGCATGAGCATGTAATGGGCAGGACTGGCACTGTGTCTGTGGGGGCAATGGGGTAGGACTGACACTGTGTCTGTGGGGGCAATGGGGTAGGACTGACACTGTGTCTGTGGGGGCAATGGGGCAGGGTGCCGCACGTAGGGGAGGGAAGGCCGGCACTGTCTGTGAGCTAACAGGGTAGGGATGGCATGGCATGTGTAGGGGATATAGAGGTAGGGGCTGGACCCGTGTCTGTGGGGGCAATGGGGCAGGGCGTGTGCTGTGTCTGTGGGGCAATGGGCCAGGGTGCCGCTCGTGGGGGGCGGGGGGAGGCTGGCGCTGTATCTGTGGGGCAATGGGGCAGGGCTGGACCTGTGTCTGTGGGGGATCTAGAGGTAGGGGCTGGACCTGTGTCTGTGGGGCAATGGGGCAGGGCGTGCGCTGTGGGGCAATGGGGCAGGGCTGAACCCGTGCCTGTGGGGCGATGGGGCAGGGTGCCGCTCGCGGGGGGCAGGGGTGGCGCTGTGACTGTGGGGCGATGGGGCAGGGCTGGACCCGTGTCTGTGGGGCGATGGGGCGGACGGGGGCAGGGCTGG